CCTGTAGAAGACTGAAACTGGACCCACACCTTTCACCATTAACTAAGTTAGACTCTCACTGGATTAAAGATTTAAACTTAAGAAATGAAACCATACAAATACTAGAAGAAAGTGTAAGGAAAACACTTGGAGAAATCGGTCTGGGTGAACATTTTATGAGGAGGACACCCAGGGAACTGAAGCAACATCAAAAATACACTATTGGGACCTGATCAAACTAAAGAGCTTCTGCACAGCCAAGAACACAGTAAGTAAAGCAAGAAGACAGCCCTCAGAATGGGAGAAGGTATTTGCAGGTTATGTCTCTGACAAAAGTTTAATGACCAGAATCCACAGAGAACTCAAACATGTTAGCAAGAAAAGAACAAGCGATCCCATCTCAGGATGGGCAAGGGACTTGAAGAGAAACTTCTTTGAAAAAGACAGGCCCACAGCCTACAAACATATGAAAAAATGCTCATCATCCTTAATCATCAGAGAAATGCGAACCAAAACTACTTTGAGATATGATCTAACTCCAGTAAGATTAGCCCACATCACAAAATCCCAAAACCAGAGATGTGGTGTGGATGTGGAGAAGAGAACACTTCTATACTGCTGGTGGTAATGTGAACTACTAAGTTCCTTTTGGAAAGATGTTTGGAGACCACTTAGGGATCTAAAAATAGACCTGCCATTTAATCCTACAATTCCTCTACTAGGTATATATCCAGAAGACCAAAAATCACATTATAACAAAGATACTTGCACCAGAATGCTTATTGCAGCCCAATTCATAATTGCTAAGTCATGGAAGAAGCCCAAATGCTCACTGACCCATGAATGGATTAATAAATTGTGGTATAAAGTCAGCTGAATGAGAAAATAACTATTAAGGTAGTTAATAGTTAAACTATTAAGGTAGTTATTTTCTCATTCACCTAGTTACTGAAAAAAGTACGTGTTTATGAAGGATCTTGTATTCTAGACACTCCAGCTCTATGTTCGCGCTAAGGTGTTTAACAAGGCCAAGCAGAATCCTGCCTCTCTCCAGGACGAGTCCAATTCGCCAGGAGACTCAGGAGTCGCCCAAGACCAGCTCAATGGCAGCGCTCTCCACTGGTTTCCCTCCCACCGGCACTAGCCCTGGGAAGACCTACGAGAAGCAGTGAGCACAAAGCCAATCCAGCAATAAATGTCGTATAAATGTACAACGAATGGAAGAAAAACATCAACCACATTCTCAGACCCCAGTAGCCAGCCATTGGGCCACGATGCACCCCAAATGCCTAACAGTCTCCTGGATCCAGATCTACTCCCCAGCCAGCTCCGCCCCACCCTAGGCTCCGCCCATGCGTCACTAGCGTAGTTCCCCAAGCTCCTCACCTGCCCGAGTTCCGCCTTCCGCTGCAGCTCCGAGTGCCGTTCCAACGCGCTCGCGAAGCCTCCTGGGCGCGTCCTAGGCTCCTTAGAATCAGAACTCCCACTCTCAGAGCCACTCTCAGTGCCTGCGCCCCGAAAGGGCCTGAAGGAGAGAAATACCCGCAGAAAATGGCTTTCGGCAACCACACCACGGGTCCGACACAGCGCCGCCATGACAGCTTCACAACCTCTGACCTTTGGCCTCCTTTCCGCAAGCGCGCGGGGTTACGGGGCGGAGCCATAGCAGGCCCGCCCACCCGCCGCCGAGCTATGACGGCCGACAGTGTGGTTTGTCTGGTACCGGAGGGCGGAGGAGACTTAAACTGGAATTGGTGGGTTAAATTGCTGGTGGCAGGGGATCCGCTAAAATATGTGGGAAGCGCAGTTAACTTGTAGTAATTTCATTCCCTTATCCCGGGCATTCATTGGTCCTGATCCCGCGCAGCTTCTGGTTGTGCGACACTTGCGGTTCCTGCGCCCTGGTACCTTTCCCTAGGTGTCCGCCTGGCTCGCTCCCGAACTCTCGTTGGATCTTCGCTCAAATCTGAAGTTCTCCTTGCTCACCCTACTTAGAATTCGGAGCCCCTCCCCACCACACACACACCTCTATCCGGCTCCTCAGTTTTTCTTTATACCACTTACCATTTCCTAATTCGCCATATAGTTTACTTGAAGTAATCTTTAAGGTGTATTCTAACTTTGTAAATTCTGTAGAGATAGGAACTTTGTCATTGGATCCCTAGCACTGGGCGCAGAGTAGGGCTCAATAAATACTTGTGAAACCCTAGACCCAAGCAAGTTTGTTCTGCCATGCCACTGCTGCGGCTAGTCCATCTACATTACGAAGTTGTCTTTATGAGATGTTTTGTCACTTCTAGATAGCTACTACCCCTTTCTGTTAAATAATTAATTTCGGAATGTGCCTAAATATTGCACCACAGGAAGCCCCCACCCTCACTTTTACGTTTTTCCCCTTTTCCCTCCCATCGTTAACCCCCAGAATTTGTGTGCCCTCTTTAGAACTGGGCTTAACAGCATACCTCAGGAATTGTTTATGAAATAAGCTTTTATCTGGCAGTTTTATATTTATTCCCAGTTGTGGGGAGGTAACACACACCTTTGGAGTTCAAGTATTTTGAGATGAGGAATTCTGTTAGTTTTGGAACAGGGTCTTGCTCTTGTCTGCTGGCCTATTAGCAGTGGCATCATTATAAGTCACTGCAACCTTAAACTCCTGGCCTCGAGCAGTCCTCTGGCCTCAGCCTCCCAAGTAGCTAAGACTACAGGTGTGGGCCACCACACCCAGAAAATGGGGTGTGAGACGGGGTCTGGTTCTTGCTAAGGCTGGTCTGGAACTCCTGGCCTCAAGCGATCCTCCTACTTCTGCTTCCCAAAGTGCTAGGATTATAGACTTGAGCTACCACATCTAGCCCAGACTATTTTAATAATGCCTTTTTTCAGTGGGTTGTCCACTGAATTTAACAAGTGTTTACGGAACACTTAGTATGTGTCAGGCAATAGTGCCTTTTAAAATCTGATTCCCTCAAACTAATGGCATAGATAGTACACAGAACACTCTAAGTACACTGACTTACGATGGTGCATATTTGTATGGATCATGCAAGATTTATTACTAGCTAATTGCAGGGTAATCCGTATAAATTCAGTAGAGGGTTTAAAATAAACTTTATTAAAAACATAGGTGCATTATCCCTCAAAACTTAAAAACGATTTCCTTTGACCATTAATGGATTCCTGCCTGAAACAGTTGTGTTATCCTTTAGCTATTGCTACTTCCACTTCCTTTCAGAAGAAAGGGTGGTAAATTGTAAAGACCACAGCCAGTGAACTTAATCCTCAGTTCTAGTCCTGACTCTGATCCTCATGTTTGGCAAGCCAATTTAATGTTGGTGATTTGGTTTCCTCACTTGTAAAACCAAAGGATTATCCTCTGTGCCAAGCTTAAGGAAATGTTTTGAAAACTTACCTACATCACTGTGGATAGAACAAATGGGGTTACTGAAGTCTTAGCTTTAAAATTCACCAGATTTATTATATTTATGTCCCATCTCAGGCCAAGGATAAATTCCTCAAGGATAGTGACAAGCGTTTGGAGACAAATCCTGTAGTTTTTAATGTAGTAAATATTTGCTGATGGCTGTATGTACTCACAAAATAGGATACATCTTCTTAAAGCCTTCATTAAAGCCTTCAATTTCACTTGAAGATCGGCAGTTATTTTCATATTAAACTTTTTAAAGATATGTAAGATGCAAAATTCATCTGAATTTGAAATGTAAGTTTGTGTCACCTGACTTCCAGTTATGCCTTAAAATTCTCTGCCTTTGGTAGAGCATCAAAAACATCCAATGAGAGGAACTGTAAAGAACAGAGCAAGTCGGGGAGGATGTCTGCAGACTCTGCTTGGTGACACAAGCACCAGCAGTGACATGGGCTGTAATGGGAGTGTTTCCACATCTTCATGGCATCTTAAGAGTTCTAATCCTGCTTTAATTACACCTTCCTTCTTGCTTTATTAAAAATGCAGTGTTTTTTATCTTGTAGCTTGCAGATCTTTAATACACATTGCAAAAATACTAGCAACAGCAGATGGTGAGGAAAGAACAGATAAACTTCATAGTAGACTCAAACTGTTAAGTCTAATACTTTACATCTACCTGCTGTGGACTCATGTATGAAATGGTGACTCTGCCACATATCTGAGTAAATTAAAAGCAATGAGTATAAAATGCCTGGGCACTTATTGAAAGGTCAGTGAATAGTAGCTATAGGTGGAGATGACATGAAGTGATTAGAAATTCATGTCTCCTAACCATAGGTGCAAACCTGGAAAGACCTCTAGAGGTACATATTGGGACCTATTAGTATCATTCTGAAGATAGTCATTTTGGCCATAGAGATGGATGAGATCATTAAGAGGATCACGTAGAAGTTAACTAGGAAATAGTATTTAAGGAATTGGGAAAACATTAGTACTAAAAAAAATAGTCAAACTATTAAGAACAGAATCCTAGAAACCAAAGAAAACTTTAAAGCATGTGAAGTGGGGAACATTACAGTGAAAGAACCACTTACAAACAATAAAATTGTGTCTGGCTTTTACTATGAGGTAGGAAAACCTCAAATTAGAATAATTACACTAACAACCAACCTCAGTGAGTGACATCAAAATTAAATATGAGAGCTGGCTAAAATTAGAGTTGCCAAATAGGACTGAAGTATGAAATCCTGGCAGGGGATATAGCACAAGAAGGCCATCCCCTCTGAGAACTTGCAAAGTATGTGAAAAGCTTGGTTCATATTGACTTCTGAGTCAAAACAATAGTGTGAAATCTAAGGTTTGCAAGTTTACTTGACAGTGATACTGCTTTATGTCAACTGTGATAGACACAGTCTCTATAATTCATCCAATTAGAATGTCATTAAAAATAAGGATGACTCAATGGCTAAGTGTCTCTTCACTATGGAGAAAAATGATTTTTTCACCTTTTTGTTTGTTTGTTTTGTTTCTGGCCAGGGCCAGGTTTGAACCTGCCACCTCCGGTATATGGGGCCAGCACCCTACTCCTTTGAGCCACAGGCGGCGCCCTTCACCTGTGTTTTAAGAGCTATGAAGAAACATATGACTGGACACAATGGCACAGGTCTGTAGTTTCAGCTGCTTTGAAGGCTGAAACAGGATTTGCTGGAGCCCAGAACTCTGAGGCCAGCCTGGACAACACAGTGAGATCCCCAGTCTCTAAAACAAAGAAACATGACCTGGATGAGCAACCTTATGTAGTATCTCCTCTGATACATATGCAGCAGTTACTTAATGAGTGCCTTTTAGTAGCCAGCCTTTAGCTTTTTCACTTTTCCGTGCTATATTAATTCAATAGAGCTTCTTCATGTATCCAGGACATGAAATTGCATAATGGACTCGCCCTTTCCTCAACAGACAGGTAATGCACACAAGAGCACCCATACCCAAATCATAGAATTTTTATTGTTTTCAAATACTATACAAAAAAATAGACAGTATGTATATCTTGATTAACAGATCCAGAACCAGTCCAAACTAAACACTATTTTCCTATTTCAAGTTAGAGCTGCTACAATGATAATTACTGAGTTCTACTCTTCTATTCAATCACCTGGCCTTTATAAGCATAAGAATTCCTGTTTTATTTCTCACAAACTCCATAAATTAAAGACATTCCTTTTTGTAAGATGGAGGTATCTTCAAGGATATTTTCTCCTATTACACTTCTTGAGTCCTTAAATAGTTGACATTTCCTAAGTATCTGAGATTTCACTCTCTTGTTCTCATATCACGTCAAACACAAAGCACAGTAACCGGGACCTCTTTGTGGTATGTCCATTAATTATTTACTGTGTTTCAAATTGCTTAAATACCTATAAATTCATAATATGAATTGCCTGCCACAAAGGCCATTTTGAATGATATTTCTAAATCCATGTCTATTTTTCTAAACTCAGCATCACTCTTTGCACTTTACAGTAGATTACATTTTTTAAAGATTAAGTGTAGATGTCTAGAAAAGTGATTCTCCAATTACTTCTTTCACAACCATCCTTAATATGTACCTATATATATGCCCACTCCATTTGGGTAGTACATAACCTCCCCAGCTAGATAGCAAAGAGACTTGAGGACTTTCCCCTCAACTAAAGAATTGCCACCTTACTCCATTTGCCTTGTTAAAAGATAATAACAGGGTGGGATACCCAAGAAACAATGTACTGATGTTGGAATTAAAAAAAAATTTAAAGACTAAATGGCAGAAAAAATTACTGAACAGTTATGTTGAATCACCACAATATTTCTATACAAAGATAAATTTCTGAAGACCCACTTCACTGAGATGAAGCTTCAGCCACCTTTGCCTTAAATCCTCTAAAAGGAAATTATTTAGAATATGTTAATCTGATGCCACTAAGCAATGATTTAAAGTTGATGGTTTAAAAACTGTCATTTTTTTTTTTAGTACAGACATCGGTTGTTTCTTTATTATAACAAGCTTTTTCTAGACCTAGATTACTGATATACAGAATTTATTAAGCTTTTCACATATAATAAAGCATAGCTTTAACTGCATTCAAAATACTAACAAAAGCTCTAGCAAACAAGAATGGCAACATGTTATTCCATAACAATCAACACTTGTGGCTTTTCAAATTTGGTTTTCATACGATAATTTATCCTGAAGTAAATCTAGCCATGCTTTTAAAAAATGCTTTAGATCACTCTAAGCTTGGCAATTAACATTTGGCATAAAAAATAATAAAACAATCACATCTTAATAAATAACAAATACAACATTCTCGGGCATAAACATATACAGCATAAGGAAAAGGTGGTGGTGGTAAGTAATTATTAGAATTAATTGAGTACCTTGACCTCTATGCAAATTCATCCAGAGGCTTTGATTCATTCAGCCCCAACACTCAGTTCTCAAATAGGGGGCAGTATCTACAGTATCCTTTTAGAAGAGTTTCTAACACATTGAAAACAAATAAGTAGAAAAATGATGAGTTGATTTTTATTAATGCATTACATTCTTAGGCGTTATCACCAACTCCTTCGTATGAAAAAATGCTCAAGTTGTATTAGTCACGTAACTTTGTGTGCTTACATGGTACTAAATAGATTAAATGAAGACAGCAATGTTCCCCATAATGTGATTGATTTTGACATTTTTACAACAATCTAGATCTAAAAATCTTTCAGTGTGAATTGAAAGGAGTGCTCATATTTCAACCTACTGACAATATGCTTAAGTTGAAATGTTGTTTTGTCAATTTACTCAAATTAGAATTTTAACCTGGTTAAAAAAAAATAAGTTGATAGGAGTAGCATAATAACCAACATACTGACAAGGTTACTGTTACAAATGGAGATAAGTAAGGATGGAGGGGAGTCCAACTCTTACCACCTACAAGTTTGATTACTGTACCTACTGCCACACAACCGTAACAAATTGGATGTAGAACTATTTATTCTCGTCTGGTGTCTTCAGACACCCAAGATATGTACCTTATACCAAAACAGTGTTTATTTCAAAATATTTTTTGTAGCTGGTAGCTCTTCCCTTAGAGATAAAGAAAATATACCAAGACTTTTAATAACTACGATTCAGAAAATGTAAAAGAACAATTTTAATTAGGAATCAAATATACAGTTTCGAAGAGAAAAAGAAACCTTATAGAAGACAAAGACCAAACTGATTTCCCAGATCTATAGTAATTTGTAAAGTAGGAAAGAGACTATTACAACCTGCAGCTTCTTAGATCATTCTATTCAGTGTCCCCAGGTACTACAAGTGTTTTTATAATGGTGTTTCCTAAATAAAGGGCCTTAAATATACATTAGAGGGTGTTTCCCAGGAGTAGAGGTGGAGATATTTTCATTTTGTTTAACCCACAAGCTATTTGGTCAAAGGAATATGTAAAGCTAAGTAAAAGCACATCTGGTAGAAATTCGTGGCAACGAATGTTGACAAGATGTGCTTGGATCTCGCTTGCAGCATCTGGCAGTGGGACGCAGAACAAAGGTAGGAGTCTCACAGGCTCTCTTGTGTTGGTTCTGGATGAGGCTCCGTGGTGGTGGCACTAGCATTTGCAGTCGAATTCAAGACTTCTCCAAAGTCACCACCAGCAGGCTTGGTTCCCCCTACTTTAGACTTAAAAAAAAGTTCAAAAAAGAAAAAGACAACATGAAACATAAAATTAGCTGAGTCTGTATAAAGTTACTTACTTTTACTTTCAAGAACAAATAAATCAGTACCCTAATAGCACAGTGATCATTATATGTCTATGGAATTTAATACTGTTGTAACGTTGAGTGTGGTTTCATAGTAAAACTTACACATTCTTTTTTGCTGAAATATTCAAACTGGTAAATTCTACCCTTTCTTCTTTTTCCCCCCATTTGCTAATTCAGTGGTTCTCAACCTTCCTAATGCCTCAATGTATTTTCATTGTTAAAAAGGGGTCGCAACCCACAGGTTGAAAACCGCTGGGCTAACTGTTCTTTACAAGAAAATCTGCCTAGAGAACTTTGCAAGACCTATTCTAAAATATCTAGTAAACTCTTTATGTGACATTTTGTATTACATCAAAGTGTTCATTCAGCTACACTCATTCAAGAAATAGTATTGAAAACAGCAAAGCAAAGATAATATATGTATTTTTCCCAATTACAGTGTAAGCTTTTTAACCTTTTATAACTTTAAGTATGGTCCTAGGACCTACGTACTCAGTATCACCTGGGATCTCAGAAATGCAGAATCTCAAGACATCCTTCTCTATCCCCAATACAACTCCAACTACAGAACTGAAATCTGCAGTTGAAAAAGAGCCCTGTGGCTCGGCGCCTGTGGCTCAAGTGGCTAAGGCGCCAGCCACATACCCCTAACGTGGTGGGTTCGAATCTAGCCCTGCCAAACAACGACAGCTGCAACCAAAAAATAGCCGGGCATTGTGGCAGGCGCCTGTGGTCCCAGCTACTTGGGAGGCTGAGGTAGGAGACTTGCTTGAACCCAGGTGTTGGAGGTTGCTGTGAGCTGTGATGCTATGGCATGCTACCCAGGGGGACAGCTTGAAACTCTGTCTCAAAAAAAAAAAGAAAAAGAGAAAGAGTCCTGTGTGATTCACATGTATATTATAGTGTGAATGACCTAGAAGCACAACTCCAAGCTGTATGTCCTGAAATTCTGTCAATATTTGAACAAATATATCCTGTCTTAGATTTGTACAATATTTTATCCTTTTCAAAACCCTTACACGTCACTTCATCCTTTTCAACACTGATGTATCTATCTTCTCTGTGTTAGATCTCACAACTGCCCAACAGAACAGCTAACATTATGAAACCAAGGGTGCAAGAAGAAGCTATGGTGGTTATGACCTTGATTGACCTTGCTCTTAGTTCAATCATAGCTGACTGGCCAGGGACTTGTTAACATTTGGAATCCAGTTGAAATTTTCTCTCTCGTTGTTTTTAAAAGTAGATTATAATTTACAGACTCTAAATATATTCAAGAGGAGAGTATATAATAAATGACCTGGAAGTTTCTCATCATCTCCAACATCAAAAGCATACGTGGTGCCTGGTTTTCTAATGAGTCATTTCAAAAACTATTTATAGCAGATTTCAAGGAGAGATTGTAATAGTCCTAAAGATACTGAGAACTGAATGATGATAACCTTGACTTCCTGCAACTACACTGTTTTCAAATATGATTTGATGCTAAGAAGAATAAATCAGGCTCAGGCATGGTAGCTCACACCTGTAGTCCTGGCACCCTGGGAGACCAAAGTGGGTAGTTTGCTTCAGCCCAGGACTTTGAGACCAGCCTGGGCAAGGAGGAGACCCCATCTCTACTAAAAAAAGAAAAACTAGGTGAGCATTGTGGTAGGCACCTGAAGTCCAGCTACTTGAAAGACTGAGAGGCAAAAGGATAACTTGAGCCCAAGGGTTTGAGGTTGCTCTAAGATAAGATGCTATGGCGCTCTACCCAGGGCAACAGACACTCTATCTCCAAAAAAAAAAACCATAAAGCAAGTCTCTTGAAATGATCTATAAGAATGACTATATTTTTATTTATCAAATTCATATTGGGCAACGTACCAGGGACTGTTCTAAGCCCTTGAGAAGTATCACTGAGCAAAAAGAATAGCTCTCTGCATTCATGAGTTCATAGAGCATCAGGCTATTGGAGAATGAACAAACAAGTTGTAGAACTGGTTGGACAGCGTGATTCCTTTCTGAAAAACATCTATACATCTACATACTGACAGAAAAGGTATGTGCTAACGTTTGTATGTGCAAGAAAAAAGATCCAGATCACTGCAGAGTGCTTTTTTTCTTTCACTAAACATACCTCCTTCTATAATTTTTAAAAGATGGATTTAAAAATAAGTGACCCAGTTAAAGTTCCAACCTTAATATTTGTTTTTAAGCTGATTTATATAAAAACATTGAAGATATTAGTTTTATTCTTAAAATAGATCCATTGTAATTATCAGAGTTAGGTAAGGAAGAAGTGAACTTTACACAAACTCCGTAGAGAGGGTCAGATAGTGGATGGGAATTAGATGACCCTTAAAGTTGCTTATGATCTGAAGAGTTGATGATTTTATAAGTTTTGAATATGATCTTGAAGATAACACAATTTACAAATCTGAACTGTCAATGATGATCATAGCATCATCATCATCATCATAAAAATGACTGAGCAAATAATATCTATTAGAAGGTAATGTATAACCAGCCATTATATACAGTATTGCAGGGGAACACTGAATGGTACAGGAAAATGTTTATGACATGGTTAATTCTTTTTTAAAGCATAACAGCATTGGCCTCTAGGTGGTTGGACTGATTTTTTGTTTTCTTTTTTGTGCTCCTTATATTGTTAAAGGTCTACAGTAAAGTTATATTAAATTTTGTGCAATTACAAAAGTATCTGAAATGAATCAAGCAAAAATCAGCACAAATTTCTAAAGTGCTTCTGCTTTGTAAATTGTACATTTCCTTTCAGAATTTAGCATGTTGCTGTGCTACAACATATACTCAAAAAATATTGATTAAAAGAGTACATAATACCTTAAATATCTAATTAGTAACATAAAAGAGTTCTTAAAGTTCTTCAAACACGTTTAGAAAGAAATACTACCATGAATGGTTTACCCTACACCAAAGAAAGTTAAGGCACTAGGCAACATATCACAAAGATCCTGTTCATCTCTCTACTTGCCTTTAAGTTTTCAACCTTTTCTTCAAATGATTTGAAGGTTGGGGAGTTTCTATGGAAAGAAAAGAAAAGCAAATAGTAAAATTACAAATGCTAAAAAAAAAAACCTCCAACAATTTTGTAAACACCTTTAAGTCAATTATATTCCTCTTCAACATTATTCTCAATTAGCAAAAGAACAGATACATATCATGTGTGTGCAGGCATATACACAAGTATTTATTACAATGAAAGATTATCAGTTTCTGATGCAGCATTTCTAAGGGTATGCTGTTTTTTGCATTTAATTTTTCTTTTTTTATTAAATCATAGCTGTGTACATGAATGCAGTCATGGGGTACAGTGTGCTGTTTTTATATACAATTTGGAATATTTTCATCAACCTGGTTAACATAACCTTCACGGCATTTTCTTATTTATGCTGTTAAGACATTTATATTCCTCATTTAGTAAGTTTCACATGTACCCTTGTAAGATGCACCATAAGTGTGGTCCCGCAATGCTGGGGGCGGGGGGAGTATGCTTTTGATTCCATGAACAGAACCATTCTTAGACATAACTGATATAGATACGGTCACATATATGTGTGAGGAGGGGAACAAAACCAGGTAAAGCATCAGTTCTGTCACTTTCCCAACCAACTTGTCATGGCACTAGCAAATGTGATTAGATCCATTTAATCTAGAACTCCTGTTTAGTTCGACATCTTGCCTGGCAGGATTCCTATGTGAACCCGTATCACCTAAGCGAGACAAGCGGACTACATGTCAGCTCATACAGTTCCATATCAGAGATCCTAATTCCCAAGGAGAAACATAATAGACATGGAAAGGAAAAACCAAAAGGAAGGGAGGAGCACAGAAATTCAGCCTTGTCTACTTCACCGCGCTGCCCCAACTGACGAAGAGACCACTCTGAGCCACAGGACAAGGCCTTCATGTTCATCCATGTTAATTCAGTAGTATCATAGCGCACTGTCTCACATGTGGGTTTCCAGAGCTACTGTCCTATCCACCTGACCTTGAATATCCTTCCTACTGCCAAGATGAAAAAGGCCAAGAAGGGACCAAGTAGTATCCTCTTTACCACAGAGGTGATGGCAAAAGTGTAAGCCAGTGGTTCTCAACGTGTGGTCCTCAGACCAGCTGCAGGAACCTCTTAGCAATGCCCATTCTCAGACCCCACCCCAACTCCACAGACTCAAACTCTAGGGGTGAAACCTGGTAAGCAGGCTTTTAGCATTTCAAGTGATTCCGATGACAGCGAAGTTTAAACCAAGTATCTATTGTTAAAAATCCTCTGGCTCTCTAGGGAAGTTACCCGAGGTACTAGCATGCAGATGCTTATTGATAAAAGCAGATAACAGAATGAAATTATGGTTGGCTCCAAATGTCACACTGGAATGAGGGAAAACGGGGAGCAAAACTAAAGGTAATTCAGACAAAGACTGTGGGAAACTCATTTCCAGGAAAAGAGAAGGTTTATGAGAAACAAAGTGCTTGCTTTGTCAAGTATACAGATTTCAGAAATGAGGCAAAATAAAATAGGACCAATTCTTTGTTTTTAGATCACAAGCACTTAATGGATCCCTTGTGCCTATTCAACATTAGAGGAAGTATAACTGAAAATCAATAGTGTTAAACATGCAGCTGGTGTAGAATAGAATTCTAGTTGCCTCCTTCAGACCAGCTCAGGTTAAACATCTAAATAAAGAATAAGAAAGCATAAGGCCGACTACATTTCATAAAAATATACTTTACCTCATAGCAGGCATGCTAATTGAATGCTGAATGGAGCGTATACTAAGAGGCAGCATTAAAAAGAAATAGAAATGCAGTTAGTATAGTGGAAATTCAACATTACGAAATACCAAAAAGACATAGCTTTCCAGGAACTTTATTCTGTCAGCACATGAAGAATTATCTATTTTTTGAGATGGAGGGGATCAAAATTATTCCAACAACATTATTTATTTTTATTCAGGAGTGAATTTAATCCCAGTAGCTAGAAGAGCTAATAACATAGCTGTGCATTTTTATGGCACTTTTAAAACTTACATGTAAAGCACTTTGTTTTCTGGATCTTTAAGGCATCACGGCTCAGAAGTTAAATGATTTGCCCAAGGTCACAGTAGAATCAAGAATAGGACTTGGGTCTCTGGGACTCCTAATTCAATGTTCATCCCCTCCCCTCAAAAATGAAATATGCACACATAACACACACACACACACACACACACACAGAGCAGGGAAGGGCTCCTCTGGCTGACTTTGTCTCAGGCATTTGTTCCCAGACCAGAATAGGAAGGTTCCTACATAAATCACCTATTTGATAACTATAGCTATTTTCAGAATTACATCTCCAGCCTCAGTAGTAATAGTATCAGTTTTCTATTAAGAAAACACTTGTACTTCATCTGAACTAACAAATGGTCTCAAATAACACTTGGCCCCATCTCACTAGGACAGACTTCTCAAGGACAATGCAGTTCATTGACCGTTCAGGTTCAATGTTACCTACTCTTAGCCATCTCCCATAGAAAGCTCCTCACAAGACAAGAGTACCTTAACTGGGGGGCCTTTTAAATTATTGTGTTCTGCTACCATTGTTGATACTGTTACCATGCTTATAGCATTTTCATCACTGATATAGATTTTTAGGTAAATAGTCTTTCCTTTAGGTAAAACAGATAGTTCCAAGTATCAACTGTCAATGATATTTAAATATATCGTGTGTTTACAATTTAATTTTATCAGAGACTTGGTTGTTACAAATGATAATGTTTTGAATATAGCTCCTGAAACTTAGTTTTGTAAGATGTAATAATATGGAGTACAATCCTGACATACACCAAAATATGCTGGCAGTTTGTATAACCAAGGTAATCAATGAGATATTTGGACATCTCTGCACTTGATGTCTTCTACAAGAGGAAGAGATCCACGTAGCTCACTATTCTCTCCATCCCACGTTGGTGGCTGATACCTTGAGTATAAGGCTATAATTTATTCTGAGAGGAATTTGCTATTTTTCTCCTTGATCTCCTACAGTGTGTTGGTCCCACATTTTAAGGACAGAGGTTAATGAAGAGCTTGCTTCTAAATGTATAACTCTAATTATCACCTGCCCTTCCTCAGACCCTTCAAAAGAAACTTCCTAGTTGGTGGAGAGCTCAAGCCTGTAATGCTAGCACTCTGGGAAGCTGAGGCAGGAGGACCACTTGAGCCCAGGAGTTTGAGGTTGCAGTGAGCTGTGATGATCCCACTGCACTCTATCTGTGGAAACAGAGTGAGACTATGTCGAAAGAAGGGAAGGGAAGGGAGGGGAGAGAAGAGGAGGGGAGAGGAGAGGAAGGAAAGGAAAGGGGAAGAAAGGGGGGGGGAGGGGAGGAAAGGGGAGGAGAGGAGAGGGGAAGAGAGAGAAAAGGAGGAGGGAGGGGAGGAAGCAGCAGGAGGGGAAGGGAGGGAAGGGAAGGAAGGGAAGGAAGGGAAGGAAGGGAAGGAGGGAGGAAGGAAGGGAAGGAAGGACAGCAGCAGCAGCAGCAGCATCAGTAGTGTCAGCTGGTGCTGCCTGGAATAGCCACACTGCCACATACTACCCTTCACCATAACTAATAAGATCTAAGATGAACTGGCTCAGGGAAGCATTACCCACCATTAACTTCCTAGTTTAAGAAAGGGGGTGGGGTTAAGATGATTACAATTCTTATCCTAGCACATTGTAATTAGGACACTAAGCTGCTGTATCAATTAATGGTAGGTACTTAAGCTAGAAAGTTACACAGCCTTAGATTTTGAGAAGCAGCAGTCCCCAACTTTCTCTCAGGTATTTGTTCCCAGACCAGAACAGGCCTTTGTAGCACCAGGGCCAGTTTCATGAAAGAGTTTTTCTATGGACCAGTGGAGGGAGGGGCACATAAGGGAGTTTTGATATGAGTCTGCAAGCAATTGATTTATTATGGTCTCTGTGCGGTCAAACCTCTCTGCTAACGGTAATCTGTATCATCCTCAGCTCCAAGGCAGATCATCAGGCATCAGATTCTCTTAAGGAGAGTGCAACCTAGATCCCTGGCATGGCAGTTTACAGTAGGGTTCTGGCTCCTATTAGAATCTAATTGCTGCTGATCTTACAGAAGGCAAAGCTCAGGCTCTGATGTCAGCCCTGGGGAGTGGCTGTAAATGGAGACAAGCCTCACTCACCTTCGGCTCACCTGCTGTGCAGTGGTGGGGGGGGTACGTAGGGGACCAGGTGAAGCTCCAAGAACACAGAGGAAGGTTGTTTGCAAAGAAAGAATCAAATTGAAGCAGAAAGAGGTAGAGGTAATGAGGGAAAGATGATTGTGTAGGGACCACAACAAGGTGGAAGAGTGGGTGTCTTGGTTTCCAGAAGCTACCAGGGTCCCCACATCAATTTTCCAGTGAGAAAAGCTGGTATGGGTAGGCCTGGGCTTGCTTCCTTCCTTTTTCTTCTCCTTGGGTTACAAAAGAACTTTGTATCCGGCTGGGTGCCTGTAGCACAGTGGTTATGGCGCCAGCCACATGCCCCAAGGCTGGTGGGTTGGAGCCCAGCCAGAGTCAGCTCAACAATAATGACAACTGCAACAGGAAAACAGCCAGGCATTGTGGTGGGCACCTGTAATCCCAGCTACTTGGGAGGCTCAGGCAAGAGAATCGCTAAAGCCTAAGAGTTTGAGGTGGCTGTGAGCTGTGATGTCAAGGAACTCTACCAAGGGCGACATAGTGAGACTCTGTCTCGAAAAAAAGGAAAAAATAAAAACCAGAACTTTGTGCAATACATTCTCCTTTTCAATTGAGCTGATTTATATAGTTTTCTAATAATCAAAAGATTCTGCGCTAGAATATTCACACTGGCAGAGATTACCAAATTCTGGCAACAGAAGGCGAGAGAGAGACAAATGTAATAAATTCCTTGTCCATGCAACTCACACAGTGAATCTGATAGTATCAACAAAATGAAGAATTGATAGATAAATGCAAATTTCAAAAAGTCACAGCTAATTCTAGTCACTGTCCTGAAGCATCTATGTAAAAAACCACTTCCTCCAGCAGTCAATCCTTTGGGTTCCATGCCCCTTTACCCAGCATTTATACTTTTAAATAGTAATATATAAGGAAAGGCAAGGAAGAGATTTGAATAAGGTCTATGTTTTGTGAAAAATCTCTGAGTTGAATTTTTTGGAACATTTTTATGTATGTCCTATACTTTACTTTATCGTGAGATCAGAGAATGAATCAATTAACGGAGATTTAAAATCAAGGTTTCTCATTTTTTGATGTAGCCATTTTAGTAGGAAGATCAAGGATCACATACCAGTTTCAATTCTATCCAGTCTTGGATCCTTCCCACAACCAATATCAGATGAAATTCTATTTTGTTGGAAGCTAGTTCTAGGCGGGTATCTCCCTTCTCTATGGGACGTTACAGAAAAATTCAACTTGCCTCAACTTGTATCTCATCTCTAATTTCAACCAAGTTTAAATATAATATTCAAACTTTCTAAAGCAAAAAGTCATGTTGCTGCTGAACCAGAATTATCTCTAAGAGACTGGCTGTAAACATTAGTTACCATTTATAAACCACGTGTTGTTAAAAATGTTTCATCTTGATTTGTAATCCTCAAATACATCAACCTGTTGTCAAAGTAGGAATGTCAACGTGGGTCCTTCAAAACACTAAGGAAAAAAGTCAGGAGACAATATGATTCTCATACTGTGTTTGCTTTTACTTTGAAAAAGTTCTTCTTTTAAAAAGCTGAACTGATTTTTCTTTAAATTTTCCTTGTTTCCTGCAGTTATTTGATATGTTCATCCCTAATGGTTAGACAAGAGGGATAGAAGGAACAGAAAGAAGTGGTAGCAAGTGGTGGAAGAGGAGGAGTTACCAGCTAACGTGCTGGAATGTTTACTATGTCCACACTTGCTTTTAAGAGCTACCTGTATATCTCATTCCATTTGCCTTCACGCAATCCCTTGATGCAGGTGATGGCAGCAGGTACTGTCTAAAGGAACTGCTAGACAGTGCCTAGAGGGGTGCTGTCTTAAACCATCCTTGCTCTGCGGAGGCACAGGAGCAGACTACAGGCTTTGGAACTAGCTTCCAATCCTGGCCATTGGCTGTGCAACCTTAGGGACGTCACTTAATCTCCCTATGGCTCAGTTTCCTCATCTGTAAAGCGGTATCTCCCAAAACAATACCACCACTTCAGAAGTACTATATATAGGCTTGCCAAACACAGAAGTGATAACTGTTACTATCACAAAGGATGATTTTAACTGAAACAGAAATTTAACACCTACTTCATACTAGATTATACTCTCTTAAAGCCTTCCAGTTTCAGCCAGTTATTTCAGTTGTTAGCTTCGGGGCATTGGCACTAACAACTGAAATGCGACATACTATTTCTCCCTACCTTCAATTACGGCATAAGGAAAATATCTAAATCCCAAGTGCTACTTGGCCAAGTAAAATAAAAACTTTTGCAGAGTCTAATAACACTCAAGTTGGCAAAACAGATACATTTTCTTCTCGTATACCTATACTTACATCAGAAAGTAAAATCACTGGAATACGTTTGTCAAGTAAGATGGACCCAGCACAAATACAATAGTGAGATTAACCGACTACTTCCTAGCACTTGGCAAAGGAGCCTTCTGCATCCATCTCCATGGGAGAAAAGGACTTGCTGCTGGGATTGGAGTGCTCAAAATCCATGGTCGAAGCTCCCTCTCCTTAGACAGTTCTTGGGGAAATGTGACTAGGATTTGCCTCTGTGACTTGCATGATTAAAAACTATAGTTTGTCTTTATATATGTGAACACTTTAAATCTGATTATAATCAGGACTTTCTTGGCTAGAAATGATTTTTTTTTAATCTGGGATCTGTAATTATGAAGTTTAACTTTCCAAAGAGAATCTTCTCTCATTTCCAAGTTGTAATGAAAAGGCTTACTTTAACCTCCGCATACTGAAATGCAATGTATGTTCATTAAAAGCAAGACTGAAAATAGCAGCGTATAATCTCAATCACATTTTTTAAATAGGAAAAGCAACTCCATGTATAAGTCAGAACAGAGCAGCAAAACTTAGTTTGTGATGAGTTAATAATAGAACATACTGAGCCATGCATAAGTACATTTGCTTAACCTTTTTAAACATATAGGGAAGAATGGTGCTATGTACTGATGAAGCATAGTCCTCAGTAGCCCTTACAGATTTTTATATTTTATATTCATGCTTATATTGCATCTAACATTATGTTATAACCAGGTACTAACAGGACTCTGTCATTCTTATCTCATCCTATGACCCCACACTCTTCTCTCACTCGACTCTAAGACTTTAAGCTCTAAAAGAAGTTGCGTGTGCTTTATGTTTATATCTGCAGGACCTGTCCACAGCGGACACTCTAATGTTAGAATGGATTATGTGACTGAATGTGTATTCCAGTCACCTACAGCACTTAGGCCATTTTTAGTTGAACATCAGAGATACACAATTTCCTCCTATCATTGGCAACTTTTAGTTTAAAGCGTAATTTTAACATTTCATTTTAAATAATTAAACATTGAGAGTTTATATATCCTTATGATTTGCTCTAACTTCCAGGGTTAAGTGTCACCAAGATAGGAGGGGTAAGTACCCACTTGGTACTTAAGAAGGCAAATATCTAGACCCTCAGATAACTGCTTGAGAAGATAATGTGTATTAATAGGAACTGAGGTGCATACTCTATTACCCTTCCTGCTTACATTCTATGGAGACCTTCCTCCACCTTTGTTTCCTCTAACAACTAATTGAATAATCACGGTTTCCATGGAGAGAGGGGTTGAGGTTTGGTCAACACCACCACATCTCCTTCTGTAAGGCATGGTTGGAGCTAACATCTTTTCCCCGTGCTTTCTTTTTTAGCCTCATGTACTTTTTCCTTTTGAAAACCATAAAGTTGCCTCGTGTGCATAGTTAAGAGAAATAATAAAATAATACAAAACTATAAGCTAGTAAAACAAGTATTAAAGATGCTGTGTAATGGCAAATTTTATCTTATATATATTTCACCCCTTTTTTTTAAAAGTACAGTAACCCCTATCAAACAGAAGACCAACAGCATGAGGCAGTACATGTGTACTCTATTATAACTGCTTAATGAGACCCACGTGAAGATCCGAACATCCTTACAAAAGCACCGAAGAAACAAAAGCATCAAAAAACAAACAAACAGAGTCAGACATTAAAAGGGAGGAATTCTGCACGCCATGGTAAAGCGGCTTCTTTTTACAAAATAAAAATAAAAAAGATACATCAAAATCATTTCCATACCCCTTGAACTACAATGTCAAATACTTCTTTTAATTTATACATTACTCACGGTATACAAGAAATCCTCCCTTAAAATTAGGAATGCACTAGAGAAAAAGATACTCCAAAAGCAAGAGAATTACGCAGTGGACAAACATAATCATCCAGCGGGGCTTAATCATCTAATCTCAGCACACTTGTCTTAGGCAACTGCTAGACTGCAGTGATGGTTCAAACTCTCCTTACCTAAAGGAATGTGAAAAGGCTTGCAATCTGTAAGAAGCCAGAGTAAGCATTAAAAAAGAAAGGAAGTTCTGAGAAATCTAAAACAATCAAATAGGCTACTTTTAAAAACTTGTGTAATGTTTTAACTGGGCTCTACAATACTATATAACTCTGTCAGCATAAAAAGGAATTAAGAGCACCTAACAGATGTGCATATAATTGTCAAAAGGGCCCGAGAAAGCTGTATTTATACATTATGCTTAGAATGATGATAAACTAACAAGCAGGAATTTCATTCTTTTGGTGCAAAGTTTAACACGTTAATCAACCTATTTGATCAACAAAATTCTGGTTGTAAAATCTACTTTCCCCACAGTGACAAACACCAAGCCATGCAATCTGAGCATTATGTTTTGTTGTTTTTTAAAAAAAGAACATGAATTTTGCATGCCAACAGAAGCACAGCTGCTTCAAATCACGTTTGTCATTTTTAGCAATATTCTAATCCACAAGGATGGAAGGGGACACAAAAGCACTATGAAGTGGTTTTATCAAAATGGCAAGGAAAATTCTGCAGACTGTCTAAAATACGGATGGCAAATAAAAAGCAATGGCTGAAAAACCAAGATTTGGGCCTAAGTATGATGTAGATATGACTTACAGGTTAGTACAAATCAACGCACAAATGGGCATATTGTAATCACACCACGGTATAAAAATGGCGCACACAGAAAGTGAAGCCAGGCCTCCATCCAAGCATGCACCACAGTGCTCCTGGACTCGTCTCCAGTAAGACACTGGGCTCTGCTGACAATCACAAGTTTGCAACCACCAGAGATATACTTACCCTGATGAGAGGAAAGACTAGAAAAACACAGAAGTTCACAACCAGAATTTTTTCAACAACCTTCAATAGATTCAACAGATGATCATTTTGAAATTACCAAGCTATGCCCAGGCAAGCATTTCAGGTCCCAGTTTGAAGGAGTGTTCTCCCTCACTCCAACAGAAGGATCCAGCATCAACCATAGCCAAAGGCAGGAAACAAATGTGACCACAGTAACATTTTCATTTGCCTTAGCAACTTAGTCAGCAAGGAAAAATGAAAACATACTTTACGTCTTCCAGCTTTTTGGTGATGACGGAGCCAACGGATGAAAAGGCAGCGGAAGCCTTCTGTCCAGCCTGAGACAATGTTTCAGATGTCTTCTTGTATCTGTATGATAAACAAACAGAGCAAAGTCAGCTAACTTTCCCAATTATCGATTATTTCAAGGGCAATGGTCACCATCTATTGGAGAACTCTTTAAAAACAGTTTTAACAATGTCCAAAATGCTTCATAACTGCCTGGGTAGCATCATCACCTCGTCTTATACTTTAACCATTCTTTCAGGCACAATACAATGCAGTCCCTAGTCCAGCAGGAAAGACAGAAGCCTAAAAAGGCTAGGCTGGTGAAGTCGGGGTAAGAGCTCGAAGCAGTCATGTGATAAAGGTAAAAATGAGCCAAAATCTGAAAGAAATCGTGTCTCTTATTCCTTCCTTTTTTCATGTAAAACAAAAAATGAAATCAAATTCCTTACATGCCTTTTACAACTTGATCTTGAAAAGGGCCAGAAGCAAGAAGCAGGTTGGGATAAGTAGGACCCGTGTGTGTTTCATTATGCAAATAAATTGTATGGGCATAGAGAACTTTTTAAAAAAAATTTTGTACATCTATATAGTTATCAAATAAGGACCTGCTAGACTTTCAACAGCGTATGCAAAAGATGTAATACTTAAAATGATCCCATGGATATTTGCTATAATGCAAAGAAATAATTTACACCTCCTTCCCAGCTACCCAGGGATTAGAGCAGGGAAAAACAAAAACAAAACCAACCCCCCCCCAAAAAAAAAAAACAGAATAAAAGAATATGGTGTCTACCAAAAAAGTTAAGACCCCCATATTATTGAGCATTTTTACTTACCTTGCCAAGATCAAATACCAGAAACAAACAAGGTTTATGGTAACATAGTCAAAGACTAATTTCCTGAGTGTTTTTCCATTGTCAATTTATATGGCAGAAAATGGACCAAAAGAAAGGGCATCTGAGAACCATCATGTTAGAGGCAGTTGACCTCACTGCTGACAGTTGAATTGTAAAACAACTCTAAGCTCACCAGCTCAGCAGGTGGGCCCGAATACAGAAGACAGAGCAGTTCTGAATCTCTTGCTAGAAGCTTGCTCCTCCTTGTGCCAGGGAAGAAAACTGCATCATGATAATGCTGTATCATAATATGTGTGACCAAAAAGACAGAAAGCTTAAGAGACTGAAGTCTGCCACAAGCACACATGAGGGACTGTGACCCAAGAACCAGATAATCTTATAATACATACAGAGCAGAGTAAAAAAAAAAAAAAAAAAAGTTTGTAGACGTGAGTTCAAACTCTGACTCCACATTTTGAGAGATCTGTGAACTTAAAACTTATCTGAGCCTGTTTTCTTAGGGTTATCTCACCACCCACTCCACTGAGTTACCCTGAGGATTCAATGCACACACTGTAGACAGGTGGGATCCGGCAAGTAAATCTAACATTTTTGGAACTTAAATTTTATTTATTCACCTCACACAGGAGGCTGGTTTTCTTTCTATTCCCTAGAAGAAATGGTCTGGAAAATCAAAGTTATAAAAGAGGGAGGTACACTTGAGAATGAGAAAGAAAATGCCCTGTGTTATCCACAGAAAAGCTGCAGAAGCACCTCATCCTCCTTCTGCCCTCCCCAGATGAGCAACAGTGTCCTTCACACTCTCTAGAACAATGTATAATCAAGGGGACATACGCAGATGTTGCTGTCACATCTTGCCATCCTTTGGCAATATTCTGTTTTAATTCTTGTAGTGAACTGATTCCAAGTTTCCGCTTGATCTCTGCTAGGTGCTTCTCTTTTGCTGCTAACACTTGAGACAGAGTCTGAATTTCTTCTTCAACCTATGAGGAAGGGGGTGGGGTGGAAATACAGCAAGAGTAATTTGGTAAGTTAAGATTATTCGTGTAAAACTACACCCAAAATTCTAGAGTTGCTCTAAAAAGTTTTGTGATTTATCTTTCTATTTAAAAACAACATGTAATGTTAAATAAATTGGTTACATGCTCATCTTCCCAGAACAGTTTCTCCTTTCTCTTCCATGGCAGCTCTTTACAGCCCCATCTTTACCTGTCCTGGGCCTTCTCCCCTCTCCCTGTACTTCCTTAGCCATCTACAGTCTAGGGCTCCAACTCTCTACATAGAGAATATTCACATTACTCTAACATTCACTCTCCTAACCTTGGTGTCCACCTTTCCAGCTAGCCACTTCTACATGGATGCCCTCCAAAACTCCTATTCCTATACAAACCAAAATAATGTCCACCCCCACCAAAACACAATGAAGCCAAACCCACACCCGACTTTGCATATTTCATATACTTTATACTAGATATGTCAGTTCCAGTTTCTGCCAAAGCCACAGTCATAATGAATCAAACTGCCTCCCCCTAGAGAGCCTTGCAGAAGTCCCATGTGGACCCCTTGCTGCTGACAGTCCATATTTAGCTAGATGGTTAGAGATGGGCCCCTGACCCAAAGACAGCCACCCACCAGATGGCCAGGAACCAGTGATGAGCCTCGTGGGAAAAGAGGTGCTCAATTAACCAATCTCTTTTACCGAGAAATATGGTTTGAGAACTGCAGTAACACTGAGTAGAAGATGGAGCAACTTGAAGACCGATACCTTGAGGGATAGGTAGGAAGCAGTGAGATTATGAGGTGTCATAGAAAGCTTGAATACATTTGTCCCTTGTTGGGTAAATAGTTTGCAATTTTTTTCCCCCATTTTACAGATTGCCTACAACCTATAAGTTACAGGTTGTAATACAAGCCAAAACAGCAAGCAAAAACTATGAAGAAAAGAAAACAAAAAACTAGTAGAGGCTTGGTGCCCATAGCATAGTGGTTACAGTGCTGGCCACATGCACTGAGGATGGTGGGTTTGAACCCAGCCTGGGCTGATACTGGAAAAGTGGTGCCCCAGCCAGCTCAGCCGAGTGGGGCTGGGGGACCTGCCACCTCTGTCTTGGTGGCAACAGCTGGTAAAAAAACTGACAGGCTGGAGCAAGCAGGGGAGCTTCCCTCCCCCAACAGAGGCTCCAGCAGAGCAGGCGCTAGAGGACCTGCCGGCTCTGCCTTGGCAGCAGCTGGCACAGAAACCGGCAGGTTGGAGCCAAAGGGGGAGCTTTCCTCTCCCACCAGAGGCTCCAGTAACAAAAAAGACCAGCAGATCAGGGGAAAACACTGGCGATTCCTCCAGTGCATCCCTGATTGGTCCGTTTTCAATCCTGCTCCTGACTGGTCTATTTTATAGACCAATCAGCTAAGCTCTCAGCTCATTGGACAACTGCCTCTACATAAACCCCTGAGCAAAGAGCCTAGGGGCAGATCATCGCAGATCCTCAAGGAAGATAGAGGATAGAAGAGCAAGACTTTAGCAGATCATCACAGACCTTTGAGGAAGATAGAACAGGATAGCAAAGACCTCCGAGGGAGAAAGAGGAAGAGCTGTAACACTTATACCCTGCTCTGCAACGAAGTTGGCTCTTTCTAAGAGCTGTAACACTTGCATCCTGCCCTGCAAGGAGGTTTGGCTCTTTGTAAGAGCTGTGACACTTGTATAAAACCTATCTTGTCCTGTTCTGCAAGGTTTGGCTCTTTGTAAGAGCTGTAATAATACCTCTGTAAATAAAACCTAACTTACTGTCCATCCTGTGGTCCATCGATTCACTCATCGAATCATTGAGACCAAGAGCCTGGAAATCCAAAGTCAAAAATCCGGTATTAGGGCCAGCTAAATGACAATGATAACTGCAACAAAAAAAACCAGCCAGGTGTTGTGTTGTGGCGGGCACCTGTAGTCCCAGCAACTTGGGAGGCTGAGGCAAGAGAATCACTTAAGCCCAGGAGTTGGAGGTTGCTGTGAGCTGTGAGGTCACAGCACTCTACCGAGGGCAACATAATGAGACTCTGTCTCAAAAAACAAACAAGCAAACAACAAAAATAAAAAAAACTAGCAGAGTAGAAGAAAACGCTAAGCCAGGAAAACAGAGAAAAGAGCAGACTCAGAGAGAAATGGACACCATATGGAAGAGGCTTTTTATCCTAGGAAGCTGAAAAACTAGATCCCTAAAGTATATTCATCAAGCTCCTACACCCTTAAAGAAATGCTTTTCCTGGCTTGTCACAAAGTCACATTCTCTGCCCGCACCCACATAACACTTTGATTTCACAGACAACATGCCTTTAAAAAACAACATTAGCTTTGGGATCGGGTGGGGGAAGAAACATATATATAATATTACTAAGTAAAATTTTTCACTGCTAATTAAATCTTTGGAGAATATGAAATGAAGAAAACTAGTATAATTAAGAAGAAGGATGTATCAAATGTGATGCAGCTGCCAAAACAAAACAAAACAAACAAACAAAGAAACCCACAAGCCCTACAACATAGCTCTCAGACAGCACTAAATGGATCTAGGTCCAGAACAAACAGATAATCTTTCACATGTGTTAGACAGGCTCTCAAGTATTGTGAAAATCACATTTTAAGATGTACATTAACAAAGTGAAATACGAGAAGGGCAAAAAAAAAAAAAAGAGGAAATAAAAGGTTCGGAATTAAGTAAATTAATTTTTCCAGAGCCATTAAATAATGCACCCCAGCATCTCTAGCTTCACTTCTCAATCTGCCAGCTGAATTCCCAGGCACATTCATACATTTCCAATTCCTTTCTCTTTATCCCAAACTCCCAATATTCAGCTGCTTCAAAGAGCAGACTTGAATGTGAAGTGTCCTACCTCTTAACACTTTTCTGAGGTACTCATCTTCTCTAATGAGAGTTAGAAAGACAGACCCTTATTTTAAATAAATATTGAAATATTTCTGAATAATGTACTACAGTTTTTTCTGCTTGTGTTAGACTGGGCTGCAACATAGCTAACCCAGCACATTATAGCCACAATGCCTTAATCTAACATTTGCATTTATAAAAATATAGAGTCTACCTTTTCTATTTATCACCATATACGAAAATCAACTCAAAATAGATTAAAGACTTAAAAGCAAGACCTAAAACTAAAAACTACTAGTAGAAAACATAGAAGAAGTGCTTCAGGACACTGGTCTCGGCAAATATTTTACAGCTAAGGTGTAAAAAGCACAGACAACAAAAGCAAAAATAAATAGACAAATGGGACCATATTAAACTAAAAAGCTTTTGCGCAGCAAAGGAAATTGTTAACAGAGTAAAGAGACAACCTGTAAAATGGGAAAAAATAATCGTAAAGTATTCACCCAACAAGAGACTAATAATATCCACAATGTACAAGAATCTCAAATAAACCAAATCTCAAATAAACCCCCCAAACCAAAACAAAAAACCAACCAATCCAATTAAAAAATGGGAAAGGATCTGAATAGATACTTCTCAAAAGAAGACATACTTTGTAGCCCTCAGTAGAGTACCCTGGTGTCATGGCTCATAAATGACCAACAGTATATGAAAAAACATTCAACATCCCTAATCATTGTGGAAATACAAATCAAAACCCAGATATCTAGGGCAGTGCCTGTGGCTCAGTGAGTAGGGAACCAGCCCCATATACCAAGGGTGGCGGGTTCAAACCCAGCCCTGGCCAAACTGCAACAAAAAAATAGCCGGGCATTGGGGCGGGTGCCTGTAGTCCCAGCTACTCAGGAGGCTGAGGCAAGAGAATTGCCTAGAGGTTGCTGTGAGCTATAATGCCCCAGCACTCTACTGAGGGTAACAAAGTGAGACCCTGTCTCTTTAAAAAAAAAAAAAAAAAAAAAAAAAGATATCTAATCTCAGGTTGGAATGGCTACTGTCAAAAACAGAAAAATAAGGTCGGCGCCTGTAGCTCAAGCGGCTAGGGTGCCAGCCACATATACCGGAGCTGGCAGGTTCAAATCTAGCCCAGGCCTGCCAAACAACAATGACAACTATAACCAAAAAATAGCCAGGCATTATGGCAGGCACCTGTAGTCCCAGCTACCTGGGAAGCTGAGGCAAGAGAATCCCTTAAGCCCAAGAGTTTGGAGTTGCTGTGAGCTATGATGCCACAGCACTCTATCCAGGGCGACAGCTTGAGACTCTGTCTCAAATAAATAAATAAACAAACAGAAAAATAGGTTAGGCACAGTGGCTCACATCTGTAATCTCAGCACTCTGAGAGGCTGAGGCAGGTAGATTGCCTGAGCTCAGGAGTTCCAGACCAGCCTGAGCAAGAGTAAGATCCCACCTCTAAAAACCAGCCAGGCATTGTGGTAGCACCTGTAGACCCAGCTACCTGGTAGGCTGAGGCAAGGGGACTGCTTGAGCAGAAGAGTTTGAGGTTGCTGTGAGCTTTGACACCAGGGTAATCTACTGAGGGCTACAAAGTGGGCTACAAAGTGAGACTCTGTCTCAAAAAATAAAAAAAGACAAAAATAATAAATGCTGGCAATGATGTATAAAAAAACTTTCACGCTTTGTTGGTGGGAATGTAGGGTAGCCATTACAGAAAACAGTGTGAAGAGTTCTCAAAAAACTACAAATATAACTACTACATGATCCAGCAATCCCACTATTGGGTATTTATCCAAAGGGAAAGAAATCAGTACATCCAAGGGGTATGTGCACTCCTGTGCTTATTGCAGCTCTATTCACAATAGCCAAGATATGGAATTAATCTAAATATCTACCAACAGACATATGAATGAGAAAATGTGCTTATACACACACACACAAACACACACACACACACAGGAATAGTATTTAGCCATAAAAAATAAAAAATATCCTATCATTCACTGGAGATCATGGTGAGCCTAGAGTCAACATGTCAAACAAAATAACTCAAGCACAGAAAGATAAATATTCCATGTTCTCACTTACAT